AACTGGGCCCGAGGGATCACCGCACCCACCACCACAACGAGATGGGCCTCCAGACCCACCCGATGACTCAGCTCCTACTACGAAAAAGGACCTAAAACTCCTACTAACCGAAATACATAAGCTACTCGCGGCCGACTCGGCCATTCTCAAAACGGAGGTCCGTGCAGTGTCGGAGAGGGTTGGAACCAACGAAAAGGCCATAACAGAGGTACAATCTCACCTTTCCGAAGTACAGGGTTCCATACAGACACTGTACACGCAGCAGCACTTTCTGTCGCTTAAGCTCACCTCACTAGAAGATCGCCAGAGGCGAACCCATGTTAAAATCAGGGGCATCCCCACAGAGATTACGGCTGAAGAGCTACCCCACTACATCAGGAGACTGCTGGCCGCAATCCTGCCACATGCAAAGGCAAAGAGAGTAGCTATCGACAGTGTTTATCGCCTCCCAAGCCCTTCTCACTTTAAGTCCACAGCGATACGAGATGTCATCCTCCGCTGCACCTCACTACCGGACAAGATACAGATTATGTCAGCTATGAAGGGCAAAACCCCCTTCACTTTTGAAACCGCAAGTCTCACTTTTTTCCAGGACTTAACAAGGGCCACTCTCCTACACCGCAAATCATACAGCACGGTGACAGCACAACTGCGAGCTGCGGGGCTACAATACAGATGGGGACTGAATGGGTCCCTGACTACGACCCAAGGCGGGACGACACACACCCTGACATCCATGACGGATGCACCGACCTTCCTGGAAACTTTGGGACTATCGCAAGCTGATGTGCCCTCCACCCCGGCATCACAGGCGGCAATGAGGGACCCTGCGTCCATACCACCGTTCGTCCCACGATCGATGAACACACAGGGAGCAGACAGCCCGGAATGAACACTTGTCTACACATGTGTTAATACATTATTTAAGTTCACTCTTATTTCTATGTTCATAGTTAATATCTGTCATATATCTCTAGCTGCTGCCCTATTGCTACCCTCTAATAGGACAAACTAACTTAAGAAATAGCCGGCCTGGTCGGATGACGTAGAGACCACACTACATGACGGACCGAACACCCCCCCGCCCCCGCAACCCCCTTGGTCAAGGGCTCTTAACCCGCACGACAGAGAACGCATAATTCACATCTCGGGCCTCCCGGCTCAGACCTCACACAGCGTGACAATTTTCTCTTAACCACATACACACATGATGTCTTAATCAATAGAGAAACTGACAGGTCACCATTACAAACCCATTGCATATCCCAGACACACTGACCCCATATAAGATTGTAATGTTGCACCTTGACAAAGCCTGATATATGTTACATGCCGTAAATTTTCATGAGAGCCTGCATGAGAGATCCGGGCCTATGGGTCGCAGGCCTGTAGAGCTGTAGGCCACTAAGTATACGAAGCAATAACCGTTGTCACATATACACTGCATATTATCCTAATACGTTGTTAACTGATTGTACCCAATACCTGCAATGTTGTGTTATACTTGTTACAAAAAGAAAAATGGAGGCTACTTTTTACGGAAGCTCGTTCCCCCTGACTGCGTTCAGGGCCGAGCAACTTTCCATTGTCATTCTTTATACTGTTTTGCGTAAATGCCTCACTAAAATAAAGATTTAAAAAAAAAATATGAATGGGTTTTGTAACTGTTAGTCATGAAGGACAGGGAGGACCCAAATATTAAAATTATTGTAATTAACATAACCCACCACTCATTCCACATAGAGCTGTTATAACACCTACTTTTTCTGTCATAGCCAGAAGTGAGGTTATGGGAGGGATGTATTAATTTTGGTGATTTGCAAAATCCCCTTGTTACTACTGTTTTAATCCAGTGGAAATGAAAATGTACAGTGCGTAAAACTCAGTTTTTATGCTGAATGAAAATGGCTGGTAGTTTTGGATGCATCCTTTCTAAAAATAATGGCCTGAGCCGTCAGAGTGCATTAAGGAAAGAGTCTTTGATAAAATGAATTCTAAGAAATTCCAGAATCTAATTTATGATCTGTTTTTTGTATCTCTCAACTTACTCTTGTCTGGATATTTGAGGTTAATGTTGTATGTTTTTTTTTTTCTTCACAGAAAGTAGAGAAGGTACTGTTACTGTGATGCCCAAATTACTCTCTGCCACCAATCCGGAACCAGCACAAATGTACATCCCTGAACCCTTCATAGAGTGCTCGTTCTTTCCTTCCCGTTATTCTGTTATGGTGCTAAGATGACTGGCCCAACAAATGGGTATACACGCTGTGGTTATTTAACTCTTATCAATGATGGAAGTGAAGATCTGAGTAATTGTCAACTGCCACCTGGAAAGGATGTGAAATGAAATTCTTCCCTGGGACCTACACAATCCACCCATGTTAGTCTTTTATCCGAACTCGGAAAGCCCTTACAAAGATATTTTATAAACAAGTAATAGCTAACTATATATTTATATCTTGGGATATTAAGATCTGCAATTCAATAACAGTTGAACACTATAGGGGTTATTTGCCAAGCTTATAATTGGCAAAATTTAGTCCCCAAATTTGAAATTCAGTAGCGGTTATAGATTTTTCTTTTTGGCAATTTTTAGACAAAAATTTGCTGTTAAATTCCTGAGCATTTCCTGTTTAGTAAAACCAAAACTGTCTGGGCTGGCTACCATAGGTACAGGGGTGTAGCAATGCACTACTGTCTCTACCCCACATCATGCATGAGATTCATCATCTAAATACAAAATACAATCTGCATATTCACTTCAATTATAGCAATACACATTCCAAAGACTTTTACCATTGTAAGAAATTATACAACCATCTTTGTTGACCGAGTGGATGTAGAACGGTCTTCTGTTTTAGCTGCAATGGAATTTAATCAACTAGGATCATGGGCATGCTATAGACAATCTGTATATAGACTGGAAAAAGAACGCACAATTGGGCATGTTCTGATAACTGTATGCTATGCATTGTTACACGCTAGTCAGTAATATCTGCACAGTCTGCATCGTTTGTGGATCAGGAAACTTTAATCGATAACTGCACTGACTGTACATTGTTGATCTTCCTCTGTTTAAGGTGGCATTGAATACACAACTGATTTTTTTTTTTTTTTGTACATTAACACACATATCGCACAATAGGTTTACAAATCAAACACAAACTACCAGGAGCACAAAATATAATATGGAGTAAAGCTTTAAAAGTATCTCAGGATTGCAGGTTTGTTTCAGTAATTTTTCCTTGGTTGAAATACCAGTTTAGACTTGTGGGTCTGAAATTAGCTTTCAAGGATGAGTCAATATAAGCCAATTTTAGTGACATAATCATTGGAATGGAATTTGGGTAATGCCCAAATCATGCTTTAATGGCGGTTCTCAATTTCAAATGTGAATATGGCTGATTTAGAATTAAAAACTGATTCGTGATTATTTTTAAATGTATTGACACTGGAATTCTGTTGCTATGTTATTAGACCTTCTATTATTTCCCTATGAAGGTATATTAACATATGTCATTAGTTAATACCTTTTTGTGGAAAAAGGAGTCAAATAGGTCTTAAAGTATTACCACATAGGAGATTCATCGTATCACTGTGAATTGCTATTACACCTGAAGTCCCACGTCCTACCTCACTCTGTTTCTTTAAATACATTGTTGAATGCTTAAGGTGTGTATGTACCCCTTTTTAAGCACAAATACACAGCGGGCAGGGTTCAAAAACATTCCTAATATGTTCTTCTTAACATACTTGCAGTATTCTCATTTAGGAAACCTACAGCTTGAAATATTACCTTGAAAAATAAATACAACTTTTAACTATGCTTTTGTCATTATCACTAAATGCATCTTGCTTGCTTAAATACAGGTTTGATTCTTTCAGTGGGGCTCAAAATTTCCACTTGCCTATTAGTCAATGACAAGTAGAACTGAAAACTACAAATATGGCGTCGACATGAAACTGTGCTATCATGCATCCTGTAGCGTTAAGGTTTTTGACTCATTTGAGTAGAACTGATTCTATGCTGCTGACTTGCCCATTCCCAGCCCAGAGATCATGGTGTAGTTGAAGGGTTGCTGGCCACAATCTTTAGCATTACCGAAAAGAAATAACAATTGTGCCACTATCCACATGGCTAATATGCCATACAACCTAATTTAGTCACTCCTTCTCAGCTGTTTCACTTGGTGCTGGTTTCTCGGATTCACAATTTTCCTTCAATAAAGATATTGTCACTGCCCTCATCTGGTATCCACTGGAGGGCCACAAGAAACTTCATGAAAAGTAATATATGAAGATATATAGATGCAGATATTCAACGACTAAAGAGTGAGCAAAATTACAAATTGGTTTGTACTCTTGGAAAAATGAGGAAAGGAAAACGAAAAACTAGCTAGAGGCAGTGCGCATATATGAATGGCACTTCATCAGCAGATCCATAAACAAAGAGAACACGCATGCTATAAAAGGTAAAGGTATGGAAGAACCTTCCTCCTCCTTCAGCTTGATTACCTTCATTTAACTATATTGAACACCCTTCAAATGCAATGAACAGTGTTCACTAGTGTTCAGCACATTTTTAGTCCACCCTCCCCCACACCCCTTCAATTTCTCACTTTTTTCAGAAGTGTAAACCTACTGCAAGTTAGCTCATACTTTTAGTGGTTGAATATCTGCCATGTATGCATATATATGTTAATAAATGAACAATTTTCATGGAGTTTCCTCGTAGCAACTTTTTTGGATGCAGTGAAGATCTCTTTATTGATAGAAAATCATTTTAGGTCTGGCTAGTGGGGTAGATTGTGAAATTCTGAGCACTTTGTTCACTATTGTGTAATAAGTTACAATGTTCAAGTTTCAGGTGTTTGCCATGTCTCTAGCAGAAGGCATGATAACTGAAAATTGGGTGGTTGCAGTGTTAAAAGAACTATCCAGGTATTCTAATCAGCACAGTTTGCTGTAGTGGTTATTGTGCTGGGAGTTCCCAGGCATCTGCTTGATTCCACTCCACTACCATCTTCTGACAGCCAGAAGTTACTCATTAGAATCTTCCATTAGCTCTTCTGAGCTAAGACCTGCTGGGGAACTTCAGGTTCTCTGGAGGTGTAGGTGGGGAGCAGCACCTAGAGGACCCAATGTAAGAAGTCAAACTGTTCAACAACAGCCTGACTCATTACAATGGGAGGGATGAGGGTGTCAGAGCCCTCCTGACATGGGACACTAGTAGTGAGAGATGGGATACTGGTAGTGAGGAATGGGATCATGGGACACAGGTAGTGAGGGATTCAGGGGGTGGGCACTAGTAGGTGGAGAGCTAGCTGTGCTTTGTGTTGGGACATCAATAACCACCACACATTCAGTGAGAGTGGGCGCTGTTTTAACTCTGTACCACTGCTCCTTTGTGGTCCATAGAATACACTTAAGATAGTTTCACAAAGGTGCATGGATCAACTCAGAGCTCGACAAATCCCAGGCTATATGTCGCCATGGCGACTCAGAATATTGTCCTGGCACCTGGATTTGTCAGCCTGTTCCCTCCATCCATGTGCAGCATTCTGCAGGCTGGGAGAGAGTGAAGGGAGCTGTAATTTCTTCCTCCCAGCGCTGAGGCTGTGCAGGGGAATTGTAAGCCGGCGGGTCACTAGGTAACTATGACTCTGCTCGCCGCCCACCTCCCGTCCCATTCCATTGCATGGAACTCCTGTCCGCTCCCATTCCACAGAGATGTTTGTCCGTCCACCTTCACATTCCACTGTGTGACCTCCATGCTGGGAGGAAGTAATTACAGTTCCCCTCACTTCCTCCCGGTGCACAGAGAGCTACACGGGGATACAGCAGTAAAGGGGAAGTCTTTACCAGTGGCAGCCCACTTCCATCAGCCGCAACAAGTCCCACTGTCACCTGCTGGTCCCAGTCCCAGTGGACCCCATGAAAGCCACCCTCCCTCCAAAATGTTTTTTTTTTTTTCATTTCTGTGTGTATCTGTGACAGTATGTGGATATCTGTAATGTGTGTATTTGTGTATCTCTGAATTTGGGTGTTTATCTATTTGAGTATCAAATAATAAAAAATACTTTGTGAGTGTGTGTGTATCTGTCTGTCAGTAAATGTGTATATTTAGTTCTCTCTGATCGTATGGGAATGGTGTTTTTACTCGCTTTTTTTCATATGTGCTGGTTTTGTCGTGACTGACCCGCCCCCATAGCTGAGATTATCAATCTTGATTATCTCAGCCAATTGAATGCTTTCCCATAGGAAGTTATTGAGAATGCTCTGCAAAATGCAGCGCCAATCAGCACCTCTCTAATAGAGATAAATCAATGCATCTCTGTGGGGAATGTTAAGTGCCTCCTGGAGATGCTGAATGTAGGTGCTGCACACTGTGCAGTACTGAGATAGGAGACACTTTAGTGGCCGTTTGAGTAACGACAACTAGAGGTGTTACTAGGCAGCAATGTACACACTGACCTTTCTATGAAAAGGCAGTGTTTACATTGAAAAGCCTGCAGGCATAGGCAATAGACACCACAACATCTACATTAACTGTAGTGGTTCTGGTGATTTTAGTATTCCTTTAGGAATTGTATTTTTGTCATTGGAAAAAAAGCATTTCTTCTAGATTCAATGCAAATTATGGATCAGAGAAATGCAAATATGTCCTTCTCCAAGCGGCCATTAAGCCACCAGGAATACCACCTTGAAATTACACAGTACTGCTTGGAATGAGACACAGATGGGGGCTAGCAGGATGAGAGAAACTCAGATGGAGGTTTACAAGATGAGAAAGACCCATATGGATGTTTACAGGATGAGCCAGACTCAGGTGGAGGTCTACAGGATGAGAGAGACTCAGAAGGAGGTTTACAGGATGTGAGGGACCCAGATGGCGGTTTACAGGTATTATTTTTACTCTCATGTCACTCCTCCTGATTTACATACTGTGATGTCATACCCTGTGATGTCACGCAAATATAATTAATTATAAAAATTAGCATGGCCGTTTTTTGTTTTTTTTCCTTAGAAAAGTGGCAACCCTACTGACACCATAACCACTACAGTGAGCTTGACTTTTTATGCTGCTTGGCGTTTTCCTTAAAAAAAAAACCTTAAATCATCTCATAAACATTTTAATCTGAAATAAAAGTGTGGAACTAAATGTTTACAAGATATAAATGTGTTGAAATACACAGATCAAAGTAACTTGGATTAACCAAGATCAGCATTTTGAATCATACTTTTTATTATTTCTTCTTACAATACATGACAGTACCAGAATTAAGCACACGATGGCAGCATCTGAAGTTTCACAGTTTAGGTTTTGTATTTTTAGGACAGTCATGGTTTCCTTCTGATGTTTCTGTGCAGCAGTTCTTCTGACAGTCATCTGAGTAGTCTGACAGAGCACTGTACTACTGATCTTGTAACAGGCAAACTGCCTGATGTAGAATATAAAAAGCACTAATATTTTCTTGTCCCCTCCGCTAATGTAAACTTCCAGGATTAAAGAGCATCATATAGCGGGGAGGCTTGGACTGGCGATTGGGCAAACTGGGCAAATGCCTTTGGCCGTGATAGAGGCTGACAGGTATGATCCTTTCATCTCCCCTGCTGGCCCGTGCAAAGCCGACCTTGCTGTCTACCTTCTCCTGCCTGAAGGAGAGGGGAGAGGAGGTGCTGGGAAGCTGTAAGTTTCTTTTGTGAGCATGGCAATGCTCCAACACAGCGCTGATCTCACAAGAGGAGGGAAGTTAGTTTGTAGCCAGAGGAACTGCAATCTAAAGTTCCCTGTCCACCACCGGACTACCAGGGCTTGCAAAGTCACCTCATCCACGGCCAAAGCTAAGAAGAAGTATGCGGTGGACATAAAGGTTTTATTTAAACAAATAAATAAGTTAAAAAAAGAAACATACATTTGCTCCGTTATTCCCACACCCAATATAGACCCTATGCACCCCTTACGCACTGCAACAGTGGCGGAACTAATGTAAAGAGGGCCCTGGTGTAAGAAAGTTTTTTTGGGCCTCTCTCTATTGCAACAGTGGTAAAGAGGTAGAGTCAGAGATAGGCAACCTTCAGCACTCCAGATGTTGTGGACTGCATCCCCCATAATGCTGGCAAAGCATCATGGGAGGTGTAGTCCAAAACATCTGCAGTGCCGAAGGTTGCCTATGCTTGTGGTAGATCGACATCTGTCATACATCTCCAACAATGCTAGGCCTGCTGGGGATCTACCATTTGCCCATTCTTGCAGGGTTTTATTTGTGTGCAGAGTTTGTGCGTTTGAATAGAAGCATGTGTGATGTTTTTGTATAGAGTATATTTGTGCATGTAGGTGTGCATTTGTATGTACTGTTGCCACTGGAATGTAGTGGTGTACTTGTGTGTAGTGTTTGCATTTGAATGCAGGGGTGTGTTTGTAATTAGTGTTCGCTATTAAATGCAGGTGAGCTTCTGTGTGTAGTGTTGATGTTTGACTGAAGCGGTGCTTGTATATAATTTTTGTGTTTTAATACAGGGCTGTGTTTATATGTAATGTTGGCAGGGGCAGACTGACCACTCAGTCAGATCGGTTGTGGACCGAGGGCCAGAGCCAGTCAGGGGCCTGGCTGAAGAGCCACGCTCTGGTTGGGGAGATCTATCTTTGATCTTCCCAGCCAGAAAGCAATAATTGCTCCCATATTTCTAGTGAAGTGTCCCCCCCTCCCCCATCCCTTCTGAGTTAGACCTGGCAGCCATCTTGCTCTGCCAGGTCTCCTCCATGCTTTGCTCTGTATGAGAGGGATTACACGGGGCTGGAGGATAGGAAGTGAAGTCACTTCCTGTGCTCACTCTTCTGTCCTGCAGAGTGCTCGCTGTAGATTAGGAGCAGCCTGGCAGACACCAGGTATGTGCTTTGTTAATATTTTATACATCCCTCCCTGTATCCTGTACAGCCCCCCTCCCCGCCCCTCATGTACCTGTTCTATCAAATTTCCCTACTCGTGAAAATCCCCTACCCTCGTCACTTACGGTGAGGGAAATCAGCTGGATCCTGGGAATTTGATAGAACAGTACCCTCCAAATCCCTCTCCCTTCTACCCTGCACAGCCCCCTTTCTCCATTATACCCTGCACAGCCCTCCTCTCTCCATGTACCCTGTATAACACCCCCCCCTCCATTATACCCTGCACAGCCCCCTTTCTCCATTATACCCTGCACAGCCCTCCTCTCTCCATGTACCCTGTATAACACCCCCCCCTCCATTATACCCTGCACAGCCCCCTTTCTCCATTATACCCTGCACAGCCCTCCTCTCTCCATGTACCCTGTATAACACCCCCCCCTCCATTATACCCTGCACAGCCCCCTTTCTCCATTATACCCTGCACAGCCCTCCTCTCTCCATGTACCCTGTATAACCCCTCCATTATACCCTGCACGGCTCCCCTCTCTCTCCATGTACCCTGCACAGCCATCCTCTCTCCATGTACCCTGTATAACCCCCCTCCATTATACCCTGCACGGGCTCCCCTCTCTCTCCATGTACCCTGCACAGCCATCCTCTCTCCATGTACCCTGTATAACCCCCCCATGTACCCTGCACAGGCCCTTTCCCCCTCTCCATGTATGCTGTTCAACCGCGCTTCCTACCTTCCGCCATGTACCCTGCACAGCCTTTTCTCTATATACCCTGCACAGTCCCCCTCCCTTTCTCCATGTACCTTGCACAGTTCCCCTCCCTTTCTCCATGTACCCTGCACAGCCATCTCCCTTTCTCCATGTACCCTGCACAGTCCCCCTAACTTTCTCCATGTACACTTTACAGCCCCCCTAACTTTCTCCATGTAACCTGCACAGCCCCTCTCCCTTTCTCCATATACCCTGCACAGGCCTTTTCCCCCTCTCCATGTACGCTGTACAACCCCCCTTCCTACCTTCCTCCATGTACCCTGCACAGCAATACAATGGAATGGCTATACACGTTTCAATGGCTAACAGCATCTTCTGTCACTTAATAAGATTTATGAGGGTACTTTATGGACAAAAGTAAAGATTTTCACAGCGAAAAGCCATAAAACCTTGGCTAACAGTTAATTTAACTGAGTAAGCCTTTCAATGCTGGCTAGATCCTCCTAGGCATATAGTATCCTATTCTCCTGTGATTTTCAATTAAAATACATTTAAACCAGCTCATTAATCATTTCCTGGAACCATCCAATAAGAATAATCTACCAGATCTTTACAAAAGCCAAATTTTAATTTGCCTAAAAAGATATCTTATCTTATTTTAGAGCAAATCAATACACCTGGATAAAAACAGCGGTATGCTAACACGTGATAATATTACATTAATATATAATTATTCTTAATTCCACCTGCAGAATGGAATGTTTATAACTATATATTCTTTAGTTAACTAAGATTTCTAAATATGGAAATCTGACCGTGATTTATCCAGTCATATATCATGCTATTAGTAAATTTAATTAATTTAAGAGTTGAGTGTCCAAGAGTTTAAGAATAGAGTGTTAGTCTCAGAGATTGTTTCTTGAGTCTCTCTCTCTGCATGTCCGATTCGGAATCCCCAAACTTCCAACTCCTCTCTCTCCCACTACTTTTCTTCCCTTTGTCCTAACTTTTAAAGGGCCAGACTCTCTGTACGTCATTAGTTGATAAGCCAATAGGAAGCCGTAGATGTGTTCAATCTATGGTATTTGATCCATAGAGGGCAGTCTCGTCTAACTAATCCTTCTTATCCAGGAAAGAGTTAACTTTTCTTGATGACGATTTTGACGTCATTTGGCTTATCTAAAATTACTACCATAACTTAGATTTGCTGTCAGTTCAAAGAGTTTGTCTCAGTCTTTGTGGCAACTACTTTGATCGTAATTTGTAAAATTGACAGTTTTAAACTCAATTTCACCCCTTACTTACAATGAAACCTTGTAAAATTTAGAAAGTAAAATTAATTACTTAGTCTTCTCTGTCACTAGTGTCTGTGTTTATATAATGCATCTATTCCATAGTTCAGGCAAGTGGCTAGTTACAGAAAATAAGAAGAAATTGTGTCTTTGTTATCCTGAAGATAGCAAAATGGAGTCTGCTCTGTTCTGAGTGACTCTGGCAATATACACTTTTAATTTCTTTCTTAGCACAAAATGTCTGCCGATATAAATATCCTGACAATACCCTTTCTCCCACTACCCCATGCACAGATCCCTCCCTGCACTCTGCACAGACTCCCTCACTACATACTGCACCCTTCACAGCCTCCATTTCTCCCTGAACTGTGCACAGCCTCCCTGCACCCTCCACAGCCGCCATCCCTTCCTGCACCCTCCACAGACCCTATTCCTCACCCTTTATGTCCCTCTGAGCCTACAACAACCCATATGCCTCCCTGTATTCACCTCACTAAGTAGAGCCCCTGTACCTACCTCAACCAGTGCAGCACCTATCCCCCTGCACACACAACAGCTCCTGCCCCCCACCCCCGCACCCACTACATGCCATATCCCCCCAGACACACACTGCAGCCACTATCCTACTTGCACACACATACTGCAGCCTCTATACCCTCTACACAGTAGAGCCACTATTATCCATACAAACACACACACTACAGCCCCATTGTCCCCCAGACACCTACTACAGCCTCTATCCCACACACATACAAAAGCCCATACGAACACACTAAACACAACCAGCCCTCTCCACTCACATACTACACTGCAAACAGACCCATTCACAGAGGCAAGTCCACAAGGAGCCTCAAAGGTTACTCCATTCAGAAACTTTGTTTTACTAAAACACTATTTTTGGTTAGATTAACCACTTCAAAGTAGAGCTTGGCCCTATTTGGGGTCCCTGCTGGTGGAATTCATGACATAATATCTGTATGAGAGCCTCACAAAGAATGTGAAGAAGTAGTAGTCACAAAAAAAAAGGTTTGCACCAAGTGGGGGCCCTTGATCTCCCATTTACCGAGGGCCTTGCGAGTTGTCAGTCCGCCCTTGAATGTTGGCTTTTTAAATGAGGATGTACATTTGTGTGTAGTAATGGTGTTTGAGTGAAGGGGTGTGTGTGTCTGTATATAATTTTTTGGGGAAAAAACAAAATGAATAAGGTGACGCAAAACTAATTTAAAGTGCAAGTTATTTCACCTGAAATTTTGATAGTGTCACTAATAAATACATGCAGCAACCAGAAAAATCGTGGTAAATACATTCCTAACAATTAATCAATAGGCATGCAATATAAATAATAATTACACCCATTTAATTATTAATTATATAATTGTGGAGTTTGAATGCAAGGAACACTATGGTACACCGGAGGGGGGTGGTGGTAAGGAACACTATGGGACAGGGGAGGGGGTGAGAACACTAGGGACAGGGGAGGGGGGAAAGAACACTATGGGACGGGGAAGGGGGAAAGTACAATATGGGACGGGGAAAGAACACTGGGACAGGGGGGAGGACACTATGGGACAGGCGAGGTGGGGGGAAGCTCTACGAGGGAGGGGGAAAAGAACACTAAAAAAGAGGGGGGAGAGGAACATTAAGGGGTAGGGGAATTAAAGGAAAAGGAACACTGGGGTAGGGGGCGACCAATAAAAGAGAAGGTAGAGGAACATTAAGGGGAATTAGGGGGCACTAAGAGACAGGTAAGGGGGGGGAGACGAGGAATACTAAGGGACATGGAGGGGAGGGGGACCTGAATGGGGAAAAAGACACACATAAGGACATAAGGGGGGAGAAAGCGACACAGAGGGGCTGGAGTAGAGGAAAAAGAGACACAGAGGGGCTGGGGGAGATAGACAGGCTGGTGGTGAAAGAGAAACACAAAAGGGCTGGGGGAAGTAAGACACACAAAGGGAGGTTGTAAGACACAATGAGGAAAAATAGGGGATATGAGGGCATGGCTTGGCAGCCGAAGAAAATGGCAGCATAAACTTTCCCTCCGCCGGGGTCCCAACATGAAAGCCCTCAATAGACATCCTGCCTTGCCGACATGGGGAGATCAAACAGAGCCTCACAAACCGGGAAGACCCCAGATACCAAGAAGGGACAGCTTACCTCATCCCTGTGCTAGTTCCAGATGACTCCCGCGGACATCACAACACAGCCGCATGGCGCCGACGGCTCAATGGCGTCGGAGGATTCCGCGCCTTCCTCTCCGGCATCCGACCTGCAAACGGGAGGCACTGAAAGGCCCCCATGGCTAGATCTCCTGAGGGCCTTGCCTACAAAAGAAGACCTCCGCTCTGCCACCTCTGAGCTGGGAGCCATGATCCGGCAGCACATCCAGGCACTGAGAGCAGATATGCAGGGCCTGTCTGACCGTGTCAGCCACGTGGAGGCTGCCTGTGACAGCCTGAGAGTAGCCCAGACTTCGCTAGCAGAAGCTGCAGACACCTGCTCTGAACAGGTACGTGGCATGGCCCTACACATAAAGGATTTAGACAACAGGGGGCGCCGCAATAACATTAGGCTGCGCGGCCTCCCTGAAACCAAAGACTCTCCTCTCCAGCTGCGGGAAAACCTCATGGAAATTTTTAATGGGCTGCTGGGCCGTTATCTCCAGGCACCAATAGACTTTGTGAGAGCGCAAAGAGCCCTCCGTCCAAAGGGCACACCAGATAGCCCACCCATGGATGTTATTTGCTGCTTGGCGAACTTTGCCTTAAAGGAGACCATCCTTTAACAAGCAAGGGAACAACATACGTTCACTTACCGAAACCAAGACCTGCAACTCTTCCCGGGCCTGTCGCCGGCTACGTGCCCTGAAACCGCTCACAAGAGTACTGGTTACTCAACAGATCTGGTACAGATGGCAGATGCCCACGGGATTGTTGGTTCACACACCGAGAGGTCCATTCCTGGTTCACACACACAGCGACCACATAGTGCTGGGAACGGGGCTCCAACTACCCGCTATCAACATGAGGTGGCCAGACCCATTGGACATCTACAACGCTGCAAGAAACCCCTACCCAAGACCGGCTCTGCCGCAGCGAACCCGGTGGGGACGCCAGGAGGCCACTAGACCCTCAGGTACCGCCCGCTAGTGGTCATGACTCCCCTGCCCCTGCACTAGGCTGGCCCTCTCTAGCGCAGGAAGTGCCTTAACCTGACTTGGACACCGTCCCCACCCTCAGGTACAAACTTGGCCGACCGTCATATTGGACATCTCACACTTGCACCTAAAAAAAAATACCTATATATATATATATATAAATATATATATATATATATATATATATACATATTTTTTACATATAATTTTAATTTTTTTTATTTTTTTATATATATTTTTGGCTGAAGATACAATGCAGATCTGAGTGACCCCTCTTGCCTGGTTGTGCGGACAGCTGCTGAACCCTATGTCACTTACGGCCTGACCGTGCGGGGGGGTTGCCTTGGACACAGTGGCGATTTGGTTGGGTGGGGGGTCTGGGCTCACGGGGACGAGGTAATTACCTATGTCTGTGGAATGTCTGCGCTCGGGCCTGTCCCCCGCCCCTTTTTTTTTTTCCTTCTCTTTTTTTTTTTCTCTTCTTCTCCTGTAAGCCTTGCCGGAATAATTGCTGGTATTATTTGCATTACATAGAATTGTATGCTGCATTGTATAGTACTTTGTATATATGCCTGCACACAAACTTGGTGACCTGCTGACCCCAGAGCTACGCGGTCCAGCAACACACTGATGGGTGAAGCCCAATAGGGGATTACCTACCCTTGATACTCCCACTGGCGGCACGGGCTTCATAGAGCACACCTAGAGGAGGAGGAACTGCCCTATGGGGCTACACTATATCACGAAGGGGACCACTTGGGGGTAGAGTCCTGCGCAGACATGTGGGGCGGGGGATGCACTTTGGGGGGGTGGGCCGGGGTGGTTTGGGGGGTTGGGGGATGGTAGTGGATCCTGGGGGGAGGGCTTATCTCTAACTCAGGCCTGCAAGCTGTAAAAAGGGGACTAGGTACTGGGTTTTAACTCATTTATTACACGTGAGTTTACAGAGGAAGAGGTTCTATTTCAACTGTCAAAAGTAAAGACAAATAAGTCAATGGGACCTGATGGAATACACCCAAAGCTATTAAAAGAGCTTAGTGGTGTACTAGCAAAACCATTAACAGATTTATTTAACCAATCATTGTTAACAGGAGTAGTCCCAGAAGATTGGAAGTTAGCGAATGTGGTGCCCATTTACAAGAAAAGTCATAGGGAGGAGTCAGGCAACTATAGGCCAGTAAGCCTTACTTCAGTAGTGGGGAAAGTGATGGAAACCATGTTAAAGGATAGGATTGATGAACATCTAAAAACACATGGATTTCAAGATCAGAGACAACATGGGTTTACTTCAGGGAGATCATGCCAAACTAATCTTATTGATTTTTTGATTGGGTAACTAAAATTATAGATCAGGGTGGTGCAGTAGACATTGCTTACCTAGATTTCAGTAAGGCTTTTGACACTGTTGCACATAGAAGGCTTATCAATAAACTGCAATCTTTAAGTTTGGATTCAAATATTGTTGAATGGGTAAGGCAGTGGCTGAGTGACAGGCAACAGAGGGTTGTAGTTAATGGAATATATTCGAAGCTTGGACTTGTCTCAATTCCCCCGAAAAGAGGTCACACTCCCTACGCCTCTGTCAGAAAGCTAGAGCCCATGTGGTCTATTTCCAAGTAACCCACTTTAAACTTGACTCCGCACCGAAACTCTGTAACCACTTATATATCCAGGGATTCTACAGCCACAACCCAGACGGTAAATCCAAGGGGGCAGCAATAGTCATGCATAAATCCATACCCTTTGTGGCTGACTAGACCACGTGAGCCAATATGTGTTCGTCAGGGGTCGAATCCTGAACGAAACCTATACTTTTGCCAACATTTACGCTCCAAATACGCGGCAGGACAAATTCCTGCGGGACGCACTCCGCGCCCCTCCCGACTTCACAACGGGCTGTCTGGTTCTCAGTATTGCCCTGCACCTGACAGTGGACGCATCCAGAGGCCACTCATCGACACCTCTTCCCATGTTGCTCAAAGTACGCAAACTCCTCCACCAGTACAGACTTACGGACTGCTGGAGGGCGACACAACCGACAGACAGGAACTACACTTTCTATTCGCCCCAAACGACTGTTACACACGCATAGACTATTTTTTCCTTCCATACTATTACCTGCCCAGACTACGGGACTCCGCCATAGGGGGGACGTGTGGTCAGACCACGCACCACTCACGATACAACTAACATTACCACTATACAAGCCTAAAACTACTACATTGCGGCTCCACGAAAACCTCCTATCTAACCTGCAGGTGGCCCAAGACGTCCAACAAACCTTGACAAACTACTTCGCTGAGAACCCAACACAAGACACATCCCCCCTCCTGATATGGGAGGCTCACAAATGTATGATCCGAGGGATACTTATCCCGCACTCCTCTGCCCTGAAAAAGGCAAGGGAACACACAATCCGAGAACTAACCACCAAGATAGGGAACCTGACACAGGCACACAAACAAACACTGGATGACACACTCCTAGGGGAACTCACGGCAGCACGCGAAGAATTAGCACGGGTCCTGCAACAATCGCACACTAGGGCCCTTCAACGCACCAAATCGCTTTTCCACGCGGGAGGAGACAAATGTGGCAGGTTACTTGCTTGAATGTTCAACAAAAAACGCTCCATGACAAATATTGCGTGCATGCGCGACACCTCGGGCCAGCTATGCCACATGCCAGACCAAATAGCCACAGCATTAACACGCTTCTATACAGCCCTATATGCACTCCCCTAACACAACCCCGAGCTGACCTGAAATCGGGGGCATCTCGCATAAGTTCATACCTTACTAAATACACAAAAGTCAAACTTTCCTTGGACGCAGCGGAATCCCTAGAGGCACCACTGACTGAGGGGGAACTGGCCCTTGCCATCAAAACCTCAAAGACGGCAAAAGCCCAGGCCCGGACGGCCTCCCTCTCAAATACTACAAAGCCTTTTCGGCGACCTTGTCCCACCAATTTATCTCGGCCTTCAACTCCATACCAGAGGGAAATGCAATCCCTCATGGCAGAATTTAAGACATATGGCCAAATCGCCAACCTCAAGATCAATTATGAGAAATCTTCTATCCTCAACCTTGGCACCCCCCGGAGGAGGGCAGACCAGATCAGATGAAATTTCCCCTTTCAATGGCAGGATACCGCTATTAAATACTTGGAAATGATGCTCACAGCCGACCTGTCCAAACTATACCACACTAATTTTACCCCATTGCTGGGAGCTATACGGAAGAATCTGACAGAATGGGCCACACCCCACTTTTCCTGGCTCGGTAGGGTGGCCATTGCCAAAATGAACATCCTTCCACGGGTACTTTACCTGGTTCAAACCCTACCAATCCCACTCCCCACTGCCTTCTTCTCGTCAATCCGTACCATCCTCATCAAATTTATCTGGAAAGGCACTGAACCCAGACTCAAATACACACAACTTACACTCCCCAAAACAGCAGGAGGCCTGGCCCTCCCTGACCTCAAACTGTATTACCAGGCATTCCACATGCAACAGGCCCTGGAATGGGCAAAGGAGGGGATATGCAAACCCTGGAAGGCCATCGAAACCCATCACGCGGGCCGGCCCCTCTCAGCCCTCCTGTGGCTTGACCCCACCATTGGCAGATGGCTAGTCTCCCAACAACCATTCGTTACAGCCACTCTCTCTATATGGCACTCACAAGCGAGGAAACTCCGTCTCTACTCCTTCCCATCCCCACTACTACCCATGGCGTACAACCCTGAATTCGAACCAGGGATGAGACCAGGTAACCTCCGCTGCGTCCTCCCACAAGACATACCCAGACTCTGAGACATAACCACTAATGGGAAAATCCTGCCACCACAGACACTCACGGGCACATCCAATCACACCTTCATGACGGGCTTTAGATACACTCAAATTAAGAACTACATTGCCGCTATACCCCAACGCCCTGACATCCATAGGGACCTCACACCATTCGAACAACTGTGCTAGGACCTGGATCCTATGCCCCAAAGCATCTCCTACCTCTACTCAATGCTACAACGACAACAGGGGCACCCCCACCCCCTTTCATGTCCAAATGGGAAACCGCCATAGGGGAAACACTCACGAGAACCAGTGGCACAAGATCTGTGATCTGGTGCACGATTGCGCAATTGCTAGTAAAACCCAGGAAACGGCCTATAAGGTTCTCACGCAATGGTACCTGACACCGGAACGCCTACAGAGAATGCACATAGACATGGATGGCCTCTGCTGGAGGTGCGGGGGAGGGGTGGGATCCTTCCTCCACATATGGTGGGAATGCCCACTCATAGTACCGTTCTGGGAAAAAATAGCCTCCATAGTGGCCATGTTCACAGACAACACACCGCCCTTTAAGCCACCCCCCTACCTCCTGCACCACACAACAACCCCTACGCAACGATACAAACGCTCCCTGACCATTCAAATCCTGAATGTTGCAAAACACCTAACACCCCTGTACTGGAAAAAGGATATAATCCCAACGCTTTCCCTCTGGTTTACCAAAATGAAGGAGCTGCGAGTTACAGAGGAGCTCTGGTACACGGCCCAAGACCGAGCACAGACGCACATAGACACATGGACGCCCTGGCTAGTGCGAGTGGGCACAGAAGCGTTTCAGACCACGTATCTGACCATGGGGGGAAGGACTGTCAACCCCCAGCAGGGGACACAGGGAGACTAACTGGACGACCCATACCCGCTTCTACTGTATGGCACCGCACCGCCCCACTCCGCTCTCTTACCCCCCCAACAGGTCCTGTGCGGAGCGTGTGCCCTGGAGCCCGGGGCGAGGCCCGGAAACTGACCCCGCAGGGGCATACCGGGGTGTACAAGACGCAGAGCGCATGCCCAGCCAGATTGCTGAGGTTACACCACTATACCTGTCAGGGTGTAGTCGCCTGCAACACCTAAAATGGCTTATGGCCACATGCACTCACATTATCTGTGTGGGGACAGGCGAGTACCCTCCTTAACAAGCAGGGTGCTGCGAGTCCCCAGTTCTTCCCCCTGACTGGGGAGATGGCCCGGTCGGCGTACAGGAACCTAAACTCCACAGCAAATGGGGCGGAAACCCATCAGTTTAGCCTGTTACGAAGTTTATTAGTTAATATAGGATCGCAGGACGTTCCCTATGTTATCATCATCAACACTGTACGTAGCGCAAAGCAGATTCTGATAAAATCATAGTGGGGAGGCAACACCTCATTGCACCATCACATAGGACACTAGGCACGATACCACTGGGGACCTGCGTGTCTAGAGGGAACCCTGAACAAATGGAGACCTGCAAGTCTCACTAACACTTAACGGTCCTGAGGTGGGTGCTGGAAAAGGGAAAAAGAAAGGTACAGAAGTGAACCTTCAGGATCTAAAACCCAACCCAATGTAAACATGGTACCCATCAGACGTAAAAGAGTACTGCTTATATATGCCACCAGACCTGCAAGTCCATTGTGCACGTATGCTACCGCATACCTAAAGGATTGTACCTTACAGTGTATTTGCAATTACAAGTAAACAAGGGGACCTGTGTTTACGTTGAAATACTATGTGTTGAAAAATATTCAATAAAAACATATTTACAAATTTTTTTTTAAAAAAAATAGGGGATATGATACACTAAAGGGGGTAAGACATTTAAAAAAGGGGATAAGAAACAAAAGGTTGGTTAAAGGAACACTGTACTATCTTCCAGTGTGTTATATTTCTGATGTAATTTATATATACTTATATACTGTATAGCACCAAATACCATTACAATTATTTGATTATTATTACTATTTACATTTTTTTTTAAATAATTACCTTATTTTCTTACCATTGTTTAGTTGACCTCACGGCATTATGCCCCCTTTTCATGTCATCAGTGACCTTACATTCGGGTCCAATCACTAGCATCTCATAGAGAAGCATTGCGGACCATACGCACATGTGCAACATTTGATGCGATGCGCAAATCAAATTACTCATAGGAAATCATTGTATTCAATGATTCCCTATGAGAAACTGCGAACGCTCGATTTGAGTGTTCTCTAACAGTGAGCTGAATCAGAGGGATCGGCTCAATGCTGTAAAGCCCTCCATATTTAGATTTTTCGAATGCGTGCCTTGTGAAGAATACAACTCTTCATCACTTATCATAATATTCCCAAAAGTAAATTTACAAATTAATAACTATATGTTAAAAATATATCACATTGTATAAATATATCGGAAATAATTTATTATTTATTATTATAATTTATATATAATTTTACCAGATAAAAATCTATCATTTGGTTGCCATTTCTAAATCAATTTTATTTACATATATACGTGAGGTATATAATTTCAATTGAATTAGAAATGGCAACCAAATCATAGATTTACAGCAATGCCAGCCCCTAATTCAACAAAAAATAAATTTGCTCCTAATCCCGCCCATAATCCAATCACTAATCCTACAAATAATAACATTGCTCATAATCCCACCCATAATAGTCATTTTACTTCTAAACCCACCCATAATCTAACCACTAATCAAACCCAAAACCGTAATCTTGACCTTAATCCCACCCATAATCTAACCACTAACACTGCAAATAACAGCCTTGACCCTAATCCCACCCACAATACAAGCACTGATCCTACAAATAATAACATTGCTCATAATCTGGCCCGTAATCCAACCCATAATAGTCATTTTACTCCTAATCCCACCCATAATCCAGCCACTAATGAAACCCAAAACAGTAATCTTGACCGTAATCCCACCCATAATCTAACCACTAACCCTACAAATAATAACCTTGACCCTAATCCCACTCATAATCCAAGCACTGATCCTACAAATAATAACATTCCTCATAATCCAACCCGTAATAGTCATTCTACTCCTAATCTCATCCATAATCCAACCACTAATCAAACCCAAAACAGTAATTTTGACCCTAATCCCACCCATAATCTAACCACTAACACTACAAATAACAGCCTTGACCCTAATCTCATCCATAATCCAACCACTAATCAAACCCAAAACAGTAATTTTGACCCTAATCCCACCATTATTTAACCACTAACACTACAAACAATAACCTTGACACTAATCCCACCCATAATCCAAGCACTGATCCTACAAATAATAACATTGCTCATAATCCAACCCATAATCCAATAACTAATCAAACCCAAAATAATAATCTCGACCCTAATCCCACCCATAATCCAAGCACCAATTTTTCCATAATAATCTTAATTTTTATATATATATATATATATATATATATATATATATATATATATATAAAATTTGATTTATATAGTAGTTTTACAAATGGCCAGTTTTGAAGACCAAATATATAAATATGAAGAAATGGAAATACTGGTTAATTATATATTTATTTTATAAGGAATGAAAATATAAATTTCCTGGCTAATCATGGCAGCATCACTTATGGGTAGCTCCTCCCCTAGGAGTCACAGGACAGGAATTCATTAAATTAATTAATTAGACTGATATGTATAAAGAGTCCTTCCTCCCATTTGTGGGGATATTTATGGGATAATAATAGTAACAGTTGAGAATTGCCCACTAATTCAATTCTCAGATCCCAAAGAACGTTTATCGTGTTAAGTGAAAAGTATTTCATATAAATAATCACAATGTATAAAAATAGATTTTTATTTATTTGACAAATTAATTAATAATAATATATGTAACATGCATAACAATAATCAATGAATATTCAGTATAAAATTATATGCAATACAAAGAAATGGGTATTACGTTACAATGGCTAAATAGCATTTCCTGTCAAGAATTATTTATGACTATCTTTAACACAGGCTGAAAGTGAAACTTTTCACAGAAGAACAGAATTCCTCAGAGTGCAGCGTAAGGTCGTAAAGTTTAGCAGACAGTTAGAATAACCCTTTCAATGCTGGCTAGATCTCCTAGGTAGTTAAGATCTATTCTTATGTAATTTTTAAATAAAATAACATTTAAACCAGTTCATTAGCCATTTCCTGAAAACAATCCAATAAGAGAATCTACATATTATATAAACAGATTTTTAATTTGTCTAAAAGATATCTATCTTAAATTAGAGCAAATCAATACACCTGGATAAAAACAGCGGTATGCTAACACGTGATAATATCACATCAATATATAATTATTCTTAATTCCACCTGCAGAATGGAATGTTTATAACTATATATTCTTAGTTAACTAAGATTTCTTAATATGGAAATCTGACCGTGCTTTATCCAGTCATATATAATGCTATTAATACATTTTAATTAATTTAATTTAATTAAATGAAACCAGTATAATTACCAGTTGAGTAGATATTTCATCCGATTGGTAGCCTCAGGAACTTATTTGGATGTCTCTCTCTGCATGGAGGTTGGAATCCCCAAACTTCCAATTCCTCTCTCCTCTCCTTTGCATCTCTTGCATCTCCCCCGTATCTCGTCTCCTCTCCTATATTTCTATCTTCCCTTTGTCTTAACTTTTAAAGGGCCATACTCTCTGTACGTCATCAGTTGATAACCCAATAGAAGCACTAGAGGTGTGGTTATCTTCCAGATCGCAAATTAGGTATTTGGTCTGTAGAGGGCAGTCTTGTCCCACTAAACATACCTATCCAGGAAAGAGTTAACTTTTCCTGGTGGCTATTTTGACGTCATTTTGCATTATCTTTATAGTGCCATAATTTAAAATTTCAAAGGGTTTCTTAAATTTTGTCCAGACTTAGGGTCTGCAATTCCTGCCATAATTTCTGATATGACAGATCATGAACTAAGTTTACCCTTTTCCATACAATGGTACCTTATATATATATAGACAGTTAAATTTTATTATTTAATCTTCTCTGTCACAATTGTCTGGGTTTAGATTTGATTATATTCCATTAGCATTAGACAGTCTGTCCAACCCCCTTCCTTATCACTTGGCTTGTATATACTATGCATTCCTCAGCTCTGGCAAAGAGGCCAGTCTTACAGAAAGAAATCTAGTGTCTTCTTTGTTAATTTGAAATAACAAAATGGAGTCTGGTCTGTTCAGAGTGACTCAGAATATACACTTTTAGTTTCTATCATAGCACAAAATGTCTGCCGATATAAATACTCTGACATAACCCCCCTTTAGTGCATTTCATAGCCAAAATTAATTTAGCTTATGAATAAGCACTATAGAAGTTACCAGACATATTTTGCAATCACATCATTTCTAACATAGGCCCGTGCGTGGAATGAACATTTTTGTATATATTTGTACCTGTAAAAGTTTTGAACTTTACACTTAGTACAATCAACCATAAAATCATTATTAACATAGTACATTATTTTCATTTGAAAAATGTCTTTGGGAGTTACATATGGTATGGCCAATAAAAAGCAAATCTCCATACGTTCCGGATCAATTAAGAGAGGTATAGCGCTCCCCATCTCAAAGGCCAGATTTAATTGCATAGGCTCAATTGTCTCTCCATCCACATTGGCAAGCATCGCATGAACAATATCCTTGGATACAAAATACAGAGGTATGCGTCCCCCTGCCAATTCGATCATTCCAGTTTGCACTTCGTCAAGAAAAGCAAGTGTGTGGAACAATATTGGGTCATGCAGAAATAAAAGTTCACGCTTGAATAAGTCATGACTTTGGTGCAACTCAGTGGATTTGGCAATTAATTCCGAATGCAAATTTGTTGTAACAACTGTGTCTTCCACAATAGTTAACACGTCTTGGAGAAGTGTTCTTTGCTGTTGTATCACCTGATGAATATCGTTAATGTGTTGCTTTAGCGCATAGATTTCCATATCCAGCTTTTGGACAGTAATAGAGTTGGCTGCAGACATTCCAGTTGCGACAACTGCACCGACAGTGGCACAAACTAATGCAACAATTATAGCGGTGAGGAACCTTTTGGGTCGGTTGCTCATCGGAATAGAACTGGATACAAATGGTTTCCGGGCTTGCTCCAAGATGTTTCGCACACGGTCCTGTGCTCTTTGGAGGTGCATCTGGTACCAAGTCTGTAACTCAGGAAGCTGCATCGATGAAATGTTGTATGCCTTCTCGATGGAAATCTTGGGGTCCAAGCTGACGAACACACGTCGGGTCAGGATCCTCTTCTCCGTTAAGATGAACCCTGGTGTCTCTTGAATCAGGATGCCGGAGGATGGTCCCATCTCTGCGATCGGGTCGGTCCGTAGCTCTTGGCACAGGAGCAGTACGATCCAGAAACACGCCACATCCTTCTTGGACATCTTTCGACAGTCACGGATCAGGAACTCGTTTCAGACTTATCTACTAATGATTCAAGGTTTGTTAAGCATACAAACTTATAACAGTATGACATCACTTGGCCTAGGACAACACATTATTACGATTCATCAACATATGTATTCTCTCTAATTCTATTTTTATAACTTCATCTCTCACTACATTTATTACTGACTCTTCAGTAATTTGCCTATAGCAGTTAAACAAGCTAGTAACCTGCTTATAAAATGTAGTTATTGGATGGCAAGGAAATGGTTAATGACATGAACGTACATGAGATCATGGCACATCACAACATTTCACATCATACTATACCACGTGAATCAAGCATTCATCCAGGTTAGTCGTTCACCCTTCTGCGTCTGAATCCACACCTATAATCCTTAATTGAGATTTAGGATGACAAGCACGCAACTGGTTAATGTGAACCCACTTTTCAATAAAATCACCATCCTTAGGAATTTTTATCTTGTACGCTACTGGGGAAATTTTGTCAATGATGACATATGGCCCTTTCCAAGAAGGTAAAAATTTATTTTCCTTGACTTGATTTCGCGCAAAGTTATACAGATAGACTTGATCTGTTATCTCATATTCCTTTTTCGTGGTTTTTAGATCGTAATAGGTCTTAACCCCTGTCGCTGCTTTTCTAGATTCTTTTGGGCAAAAGCAAACGCATGCTGTAAATGCTTGCGCAAATCTTCGATATACTGATGCGTAGTGGCAGCATTGATCAAGTTATGATCTGAATAGTAAATGCTACGATATAGTAAATGCTGTGGTAAAACCATCTTTCTTCCTGTCATCAATTCAAAAGGTGACAATTTGGTAGCAGTGCTAGGTGTAGCTCTAATCGCCATTAAAACTAGGGGCAATTTAATGTCCCAGTCTTTACCAGACTCCTTAACATATTTCTTCAGAATATTAACGATAGACTGGTTATATCGCTCTACCCCCCCGCTAGACGCAGCGCGGTATGCAATATGTAGCTTTCGTTTAACACCTAGAATGTTCCACATCTTAGCCATTACTTCGCTGGTAAAATGACTACCTCTGTCTGACTCAATTCTTTGAGGCAGACCGAACCTGGAAAAGACATGGTTAATCAACAAAGTGGCGCACACGGTACTCGTGTTCTCTTTACAAGGCAAACATTCTATCCACTTTGTGTACATACATGTAACAGTTAACATGTATTTGTTACCTCTTGAAGATCTTGTTACAGGACCTATAAAGTCAATTTGAATATCAGACCAGGGTAATGACACCCCCCTCTTCTGAAGTGGTGCACGATGGGTTGGACCATGGGGTTGATATTGCGGACAAATCAAGCATCCCTGACAGTATGTCTTAACATCCCTTAACATGTGTGGCCAATATGCATAATCACGCAATATCTCATATGTGATCTTATCACCACGATGCCCAGATGTAGGTGCATCATGTGCGTGTTGGAGCATTAACCCTCTGTATACAGTTGGGACTACCCATTGTTGTATACCATGTTTAGAAGTTCTGACCAGTAACCCATCCATGATACTAAATTGGACTTTATATCTCATCAAGATTCGTAAATCTTCATTATCTTTGCAATCCTCATCTGTGATGGGATTGGCAGTAGGGTCTTCTATATGTCTATAGAATATGCCTATGACGGGATCATTCTTTTGACTAGTAATCAGGTCCTCACTAGGAGCTTCTTGACTCCATTGCACGACATTTAAGTCGGCATTATCTCTAGCCTGTCGTCTAGTTATGGCTTCAACATGAATTGAACCCATAAGATCATCAATGTTTAGGGTTTCACCATTGATGGCAGCTTGTTTTGCCAGTGAATCGGCTAAGTCATTACCATCCTTGTCAATACCTTCTATTTTAGAATGGCCTTTGGTTTTCTTCCAATATATGGATAAACCATTTTCCTTAACCAGCTCATCGATTTTACAAAACAATTTCCCATGTTTAACAGGTTTGTTATTGCTTTTCAGCATTTGGTTACGTTTCCAGCTAGGCAGATATTCGACGAAACTGTTGCGAACATAGTTGGAATCAGTTATAATAACAAATTCTTTGATACCATATTCTATTGCCATTTGAATGGTCTTATATACTGCACAGAGTTCGGCTATCTGACTGCTTTTGGGACCAATATTGTATCCTATAGATACATTGGGATAATCACCTGTCCAGGCGATTCCGATACCTGCAACTAACTTCCGTTCAGCACCAACGACGTGGTGATATGAACAACCATCAATGTATACCCACGGTAGTGGTCGACAGTATTCCTCGTCATAAACTTTATAAGGAGATAGCAATTGCTCTTCTAGGAAGTCATCTCCGGTGTCATTATCATCCAGAGATGGAGCAGTACAGTCATGTAATTCTGCTAAACCTTGGGCAACTGGGCTTCTCTTATTATGTTTATAACGGACTTCTAACGGCCATCCCTGTAAGGATAGAGTCCATGCAGTAATCCGACTGTTAGAGAGATTACCGTCTCTAATTCTTTCACTCTGCAGATACTGTAGAGGTTGGTGAGCTGTTTCTACAATTATTTTCTCACCTTGGATATAGCTACGAAAATTTTGTAGTGCCCAGACAGTCGACAATAACGCCTTCTCACACGTGTTGAATTTAACTTCAACAGGTGACAAAGTCTTGCTAGCATATGCAATAACTTTGTTTAAACTGTCCTGCTTCTGATACAGAACAGCACTTATGCTTAAATCGGTATAACCTGTCTCCAGATAGAAGGGTTTACCCCCCTCTGGGTATGCTAAACAGGGTGCCTGAGTGAGCTTCCTCCTCAGTTCACTTACCGCTTGGTCCTGAGGCTCCCCCCAGTTCCAGGTAGTTTCCTTTTTAAGCAGGTGTAAGAGTGGTTTAGTTATTTCTGCATAGTTATCTATAAACTTACGGGAGTAGTTAGTCATACCAAGGAACGATCTTAATTCCCTGATGTTTGAAGGTGTTTTAGCCTTTAGTACGGCTTCAACCTTCTTCCTCTGGGGATTTAATCCTTCAGAAGTTACCTCATGTCCGAGGAAATTGACATGGGTGCGACACCATTGCGCCTTTTGTAAAGACAGTTTAATCCCTGCCTCTCTTAACTGAGTGAGAACATGTCTAATCTCTAAGATATGCTTATCAAAGGAAGTGCTTTTCAGCAAGACATCGTCGACATATGATAACGTTCCTCTCTCGAGTGCGTCAGGCATAGCTTTGTGCATGAACACAGCGAATTCATGACCAGAGTTTATGTAACCGAAAGGCATACGGGTCCAGGTATACTGCTGCTTTCCAAATGTGAAGGCCAATTTGTATTGGTCTTCAGTATGGACTGGTACAGTCCAATATCCCTGCGCACAGTCAATGGCAGTGAATATTTTGGATCCCTGCATTTGTACCAAACATTGGTCTATGTATGGCGTTGGCCAACCAGACATATAGACGCGTTTATTTAGCTGTCGTAAGTCAGCACATAAACGCCATTGTCCATTAGGTTTCAGAATCCCCAAGATTGGATTATTATACGAACTGTGCACTGGACGTATAATGCCCCTTTCCTTTAAATTCTGAATGATGTCTTGTAGACCATCATATGACGCTAATGGGAGTCTATATTGTTTGATAAATACAGGTGGTAAATTTGGATCAGTTTGTATTCTGGCTACGTGGAGGTTAGTTAACCCACAGTCGTAGGAATCTTTGGCAAAAATATCTTGGAATTCCAAAAGGATTTCCTTTAGCTGTTGCCGCTCAGCATCATTGGAGCAACCGTCAGCTAAAGATATTTGCTCTTCTAGCCTTTCCTGAAATCCTGGAAAGATTTCAGGCTGGCCTATCTCATAAGCTTCTTCAAGCCTAGAAGTTAGGTCAGTTCGGTGTTGACTTACCTTTTCTCTTTGGTCGTGATACTCTTGTGATTCCTGCTCATTGAGCGGATGATCGAAGGTGATAGATGCTTCTTCGATTTTACACGAGCCTTCTTCAACATTGAAGGGATATACAGATAGGATAGTGAATAATCCTTCTGGGGAGGAATGGAATATTTGATCGACAATTTCATCCTCAGTTAAGTATTCTTCAGGGATGAGGCCTATAATTTGGTTTTGGAAACCAAATGTATAGTACTCAGCATCCAATGCTAGACCTAATAATGTTCCTTTTGGTAAAGTAACACTATTGGGTGTAACATTGTTGACCATGATATAGGTGGGATTCTTACCAATACTTACCATTGGTGTATGTGTTACCACCATCCCTAATTGTTGTATCCTGTTGGATAAACAGATTAGGGCATCAGAGTTTTCTAATCTCTGACCCTCCTTGACCTGTAGGGGTAAAAGAAAGTTACTTGTCCCCTGTGGAATGGTTATGTCATCAGGTACTTGGATACTTACCGCATAAGGGAGTATTTGTCCTGATTTCAGGGCGTTTTCCTCGTGTAGGTATCCACAAGGATTACCTTTTAACCTTGTCCACAAGTTGGAATTAATCAGGTCAAGGTGTATGGCAAAGCGATGTATGACATCATTGCCAACGTAAACCTGATAGCGAGGTTCGTCTATCACTAAGAATAAATGTTTAACTGTCTTATTTCCGATGGAAATAGATAGTAAACATTTTGCTATCACATTGTGACTCTCTGATTCGCCATCCAGGTTCTGGATCCACCTGTCATGTGGGGAAGCGTACCTGATCATTTTAGGATTAGCGATCTGTTTTAACAGACTTCTGCTAATATAGCTGTTCTCACTCTGTAAGTCCAGCTTTGCATTCCTACTTCTTCCTAAGTCATTTATTTGCATAGGGAAGAATAAGTTGTTATTAACCCTTTCAATTCTGGCAAGGAATTGAGCATGACCTGCCAGATCTACAGATTCAACATAGTCCCTGTGGAGAGAAATGGTTAAAACATCACCTTCCAGAGAGACATTCTGGATCCTCTCTGGAGCAATTCTTATGGAATGCTCATCTA